ATTTTTTATTTAAATAAATTTAATTTGAAAGAAATTATAAAGCTTTTTGCTGTGTTTTTTTTTGTTGATATAAGTGTAAACACACATCCATCTAGCCTATAAGAAAGCCAACTATGCAAATAAACTTTAGGCACAGTATCTTTAAAATTGTTGTACTATACTTCATTCAAGTTTGAATTATTCCTAACTGAGTGTACCCATCTCTCTGACACTGGAAAAAACCCACCACAACTTAGAATGTTTTCTTATTGGTCTTTCATCTTAATTTTAATCTATTAACACCAGGCTTGAGAGCATTGGGTGTTCTAAATTTTGTGGATGATGGATTATTAAGTTGTACAGCATATACACAGAGTAGACCACATGGCTTTTGAGGGAGTAGGATAAACGTGCACCTTATGGTAACCGTGTACATGTTTTAGTTTGGGTAGCTTGTTTAGTGTCTGTCTAGTTCACCAGATCTTAGTGGTTGGAATAAATGCAGAAGTGGGGGACAAAAAATTCTATAAACAATTGGATTTTTTACTATGTTCTGGGGCATATATTATATTCCTTATTAAGTTGTTGAGAATAGATACAATTCAATTATTAAAAAAAATAAATGAAAAGTATCGATTTGTATTTAAACTGAATCTTTCCCATTTTAAATATGATACATTTTTCTTTTTTTAAAAATAAATCTTTAAATTTGAAGATGGGCAACCTACATTAATGTCTAAAATAACGTAAAATAAATGAAAATATTAAGCCGTACATATTTGCTGCTGACGTATTCAAGAAAATCCCTGGAGTGGTAGATGTCATCTGCTAAGCACCCAGAACGACCAGTGTTAGCTGAAATGCTAAACCAGCTTTTAACAACAGTTGCTTCTTCTGCAGGCACAGAGAGGATATTTTCTTCATTTCATTTTCTTCAGTTAGTTCAATCCATATGAAGCTAAGCTGATTGCACAGGAGGACATTTTGTATTCCTCTTCAATAAAAGCTAAATCTGAGAGAAAATCTGCTTGTTCTACTAACAGGGCATAGTGACCAGAAACAATGGACATTTATAGATGTGCTCCAGGTTGAGGGAAGGAGGAGAGTGTTTTAATTGGAGCAGTTCTGAGAGCTGCTCTAATTAAAGAACCTGGAACATCACATGCATCAGCATCCCCATGTTTGATGAGCTTTAGTTAAAGTGCCCCACCATCATTTTTCAGCATGAGGACACTGATGCACGTGATGCTGGAGTCTGCTGGAATGCAGTAATTACACCATGCTCCAGCAGACTCGATTAATCAAATTTGCTCCAATACACTGTAATTACAGTGCATTGGAGTAGTCTCTATGCATGTGTATAGGCACCCAAACAGCTCAATTCACTAACTATAGTTAATAAATTCACCAACTACAGCTAACACTTCTTTATTTAAAATATTGATATTGTGAAATGTTTCGATAAACTATTTTTCTTATGTATTCAGTGCATTTAACTCTATTTTGTTTAACTAATAAAAATGTAAATGGCTGTTTTATGCATTTTAATTAAATTCCAGCTTCTATTAAAATAGAGGTTGATACAAATTATGAATAAAATATTAATAATCTAATAAAAAAGAAATGAATCATTAACATTTCCAAACCTGATAAAAATAGAAAAAATAAGAATTTGAATAAATGCAAATTAAGCTATACTCATCTAGAGATGTGTATAGATATGGTATATCCTCCTGGGTCAGAAAAAGAAGTGCCAAATATAGCATACACAATACTGTATATTTAGCTGCAAATCAACATATTTAAATGGTAGCTATCTGGGGTGGGAGTGCGGGAACAGCCTTTCTACCTTTCTATATGAAAAAAGCCTTAAAGAACAAATGCAAAGCAAGATAAAAATTGATTTAAATTGAGGTTTCCATCTTGCTAATTCATATTAGGACTGAAATTAGTCTACCCTGATGTTGTCTTTTCCCCTTTTAAACTGTAGAGTTTTCTTTGAATAATCAACAAACTTCCTATGAAATGCTCACATTTTAGAGAGCACATGCCACAAGTGATTTATAATGCAAGTATTGCATTGCTGCATTTTTATTTAAAATTAAAACGATATTGTAAACAGAATGCCAACTTGTGCTCCAATAGTAGGGAACTAATAATAGATAAATACTTCCCTGCTTATCTGAACTGTAAGTCAGTGGAAAGTCAGGAATAGCATAATCACTGATTAGGCTGCAAACTAACATTAAATTAAAATAATGCTATATCAATTTTTTTTAAAAATAAAATAAAAAGCTTTTACAGAATGGTAAGAAGAGAACACCTGCATTCCTTTTGCTTATTGGAGGCTGGGGGGAAGAATCAAATAACTGTTGGTTATAGACCACCAACTATATTTAATAATTGCTTGTAAAATATGTATCCACATCATAAAACACTTTTAAAAACAAATATTTAAAAAAAATGAAAATATGTACAAGAATGTAAAAAGATGCCTACCTAAATATGTATCTAATGCAGAAAAATAAATCTGGTTTATTTATAGTCTTCCTTCAAAGTCTCCTAGATCTCAAAAACATTTTTTTAAAGCAAAAAACTAACAAACAGCAGACAAAACATATACATAACAGCAGACTAAGACATCACCAAAGAAGTAAACATTGAGAACTAAAGATGGAGGGGGTGTCCACTTCAGCTTTGTATTTCCTAGTTTACATTAGAAATATAGTGCCACTTGACCTTCACCATGGGTTACATATCATTATAAGCCCTGTGTTGAAGAGCCAGCATGAGATCTACACGCCATTTATTTTCCATGCAACTATTAAAAAAATTAAAAGGTGAATTTTACCTTAAACAAGGAAGTATTTCTTGTTGTGAGGATCTTGTTTGGGAACTCACAGAGATCCCAACATGAAACAATCTGGGGAAAATGCCATGTGAGATACTGTGGAGAACTTGGGCATCTTTACATGTGCTCCAGGGGTGGGGCACAGAGGTGCTTTAATTAAAGTGTCTTGTGTATTCAGCGTCCCATGCTTTGAAATGGCAGTGCGGGTGCTTTAACTAAAGCTCATTCGTAAGCTTTAGTTAAAGCATCCTTGCCACCATTTTGAAGCACAGGGATGCTGAATACACAGGACACCAAAGTTGCTCGAGTGTGCTAATTAGCCTGCTCCAGCAGACAAGATTAATTGAGTCTGCTCTGATGTGCTGTAATTACAGCACTTTGGAGCAGGCACCCCGCATGTCTACAGGTACCCTTTGGCTTTCCTTGCTGTTTTTGATGGCAATTGTTTATTCAGCTCTTTGGAGTACTCATTTCAAAATTGTACCTATGGGTGCCAGTAGACGTGCCAGGAGACATTTTCCACGTGCTGGAATTACAGTGTGTCAGAGCAGACTCAATTATAGTTTCATAGTTTCTAGGGTCGGAAGGGACCTGAGCAGATCATCTAGTCCGACCCCCTCCCATGGCAGGAAAGAGTACTGGGGTCAAACGACCCCAGCAAGGTGTTCATCTAACCTCCTCTTAAAAACCCCCAGGATAGGAGCCTGCACCACTTCTCTTGGAAGTTGGTTCCAGACCCTAGCCGCCCTGACCATGAAGTAGCGCCTCCTGATATCCAACCTAAACCTACCCTCTGCCAGCTTGTGACCATTATTCCTGGTCACTCCTGCC